CCTGGTATCTTTAGTTTTAGGTCATTGTATTCGCATGTATAAACCCGACACTGATGGCCACTGCAGGAGCTGACTGTGCATCTTGTCTAAAATCCCACCCGTCCAGCATATTTGGATTTGCTTTTGTTTTGGGTCTCTTACATGTGCGTACTTGACCTTCCCGTGATGGAAATCAGAGCAGGTTCCAGGCTCAATTTTTTTTGAGGGGGTAAAATCAGTCAACATGATTCCGTCATCTCATCCATGATATTGGTCATGATCGCATCAAAGTTTACTTAACTCCAAAGATTGCTTGAATTTTCGGTGTTTCCAGTTTGTCACTATTACACCACTTGAATTAAACATTGTCCTTAATTTCTTCTCTTGGGTTGGTCTCTCTCCCACTGATTTCTTTGGAGTGGGATTAATGGATCAAAGAACACAATCATTCCTTGGTTCTTGATTCTTGCGGGCAAATGAACTTCAAAAGGGTTAATATCCTATACTGTGGTTTCTTTTCAGATCACATAAATCTTTTGCCTTTTACAAAAGGGTTAATATCCTCACTAAACAGTTTTTTGCGCATCTGTATGCTTCTAGGTCACGGAGGAGACGAGCCTCGTTCTGCAGACCCTGGGGTACGCGTGCACGTGTCGGGGAATAATCAACGTGAAGGGAAAGGGGGACCTGAAGACGTACTTTGTAAACACAGAAATGTCGCGGTCCCTTTCCCAGAGCAACTTGGCTTCCTGAAGAGTCATCTTCATTTTGGCAAGAAGACTGTGTTTTTAGGAAGGTACGATGCACTTTCTGACTGCAACTTTGTCCCTCGTTTTCGATGTGCGTGCGCTGCTCTGTCCTCTGGAGCCTCTGCGGACTCGTTCCTGTGACCGGCGGCACACCCCCCGGTGTGCTGAGATCGCTCTGCCACTTGCACTGTGCTTACTCTGAAGAAAGAAGAAAAGGAGCATGTGATACAGAAGAGAAAGGCATTCAAAGAACTAGCGTGGATGATGGAGGTGAAACAAACAAAAATTCTTAAGGCAATAAAACTAGGGGGTGTATATTATCTTCTGGTGCATGTTCTTTTCTGGAAAATACGGTAGCTCGCCAACCGCATCCGCTAGTCTGATATTAAACACACAGTATTTGTGACTAAGTTGATTCTGTCATCCCCCATGGACTGTGACTCTGTTCAGCCGTGTGTCTCATTGCCAGTGGCCGCCCACGGGCCCCAGCTGGGATCCGTGGCTGTCACCTTGCTCTGTGGTGTCCTCTCAGCAGCACATCGTCACCCATCACCAGGATTAGTTCTCACAACCTAGGACCAGTTTTGTACCAAACGCGTCTGATGTTTTGATGCCATTGTCTTTTGTAAGGTTAATTCATTAAAAGTTTTATGTACTTTGGTTTATAGTGTCTTGTCTTCTCTCCCCACCCACCCTGACACACACACCCTTCTTCTTTCTCTGATTTGCTCCAGAATGGGGGTTTGTTTTTCATTTGTTATCCCTGCTTCAGAAAGCATTCTCCGGAAGCCAGGATTGAGATACCGTTCAGATCAGGAGGAATTCTGTAATGCAGATCATTGGTTATGCTGCTCCCATGTCATGGAGTCTGCTTTTCATTTTGTCACCTGCATTATCAGGGAAAATATTTTAATACTAAAAAGATTCTCTACTAACAACAACACCACTTCGTCCACACACTCTGGTCTGCCCTACCATAATCCTTGAATGAGCTGGACACAGGCTGCGTAAGAGTAATTTGGAACCAACTATGTAAAGTAGCAGTCACAACAGCTGAACAAGCCACAAGACACTGCCAAGCTGCACAAGCTGCCTTTGATGTCCGAGGTGGCACAGGAGTGCACAGAACCTTGAAGATAGAAGACCTGGAAGATTCAGTTGTAGTAAATTCAACTCTGAAGTTCACATGAAGAAGTCATACTCTGTGCCATGGTGTAGAGTCTAATATTTAAAAGCAAACCTGCACTTGGCAGCCTGGCTGGGCAAACCCGTGAGGGTAAAGGACCCCAGGATCTATTAGGCAGCAGCCCAGTCCTGGGAGCCGGGACTTGAGGCCTGAGCTCCCAGTTTGTTTGCTGACTCTGATATGTTACTAGCTGTGTGACTTTGAACACACCTCTCGGTTTCTCTGAGGAGTTTGTTCCTGGTGGGTAGTTCATGGCATCGGGCCTAGTTAAATGTGCTAGTGACCGGGCCCGCCTGGCAGGTTCGGGGAGTACTCCTGCCGGCACATTCATAGCACAGACACGGTGGCCCTGTGGGGACCTGCACTCACAGCAGTTATTTCAATACAAGCCAAGCGCTCATGGAAGCTGATAACTGGCCTTCATCACCAGAGGAAGTGGGACTGCAGCGTGAGTTATGCAATTGTCTGCCTCAATCAGGGATTTTTTTATTCTGAATTTGCAACTCAGCCTTGGCCTTGATATGCCTAATTCTCCAAAAACTGTGATTGAAAGAAGAAGGGTATAGGGCGTGTCTCGTCACAAATCAAAATCTGGACTAGGCCTCCCTAGGGTTTCAGTGACTTCCATCTAGGCCTTGTGAATCAGTGTGACAATGACCAGCAACTGGACCTTTTGGGTCTTCCTCCCTCAGAGCCTACAGCACCCACCCCAGGGCACTTTATGTCAGCTGCCCTTAGTGGACACCCACAGCTGGGTGATCCACCAAGTGCTCTTAAATTGGCTTCCCACCATGTGCTGAATTTGGTGAAAAGAACTCAAAGAAGAACCGCTTTTCCCTGAAGCTGTGTCACCACTCTTAACAAACAATAGACTTAAAACAATCAGAGTGATTATCAGAGTCCATCTTGCAAAAGTCTGTGCATACGCGGGTCCCTCCAAGTGTGGTCTCTCACCAGCAGCACCAGCAGCACCTGCAGCACCTGGGAAGCTGTTAAAAAAGCTCAGGGCCCGACCCAGGCCTGCAGGGTCGGAAATCCTGCAGTGCAGCCCTGCACACTGCCAGTGGTGTCTCAGATACCTGTTCTCCAGGTGAGTCTGATCCCCAGTCCAGCCTGAGAACACACTGCATTTTACAAATGGGTGCAGAGAGGTCCAGGGGTTTGCTCAAAGGTTCCCAGGTGATTGGTGACTAAGAGCAGGCTAGAATGGAAAACTGCCAGTTCCCTGAAATCTGAAAGTGGCTCCTGGTCAAAGTATCTTCATCTCTGGCAACTACAAACCTTCTGCCAGGAATCATGCAAACAAGAGAACTTGAAGTTCACTCTCCTCAGCCCATTGGCTGTGTGCCACCAGTAGAAGGAAAGAGTCTCCTCAAAGCCCTCCTCAACCTCCCATTTAGCAGGAAGCGCTCACTCCTAAAAATGCCTAAGTCAGGTTCCCATAAAACTGCAGTGGGTCCTGACCGGTGTGGCTCAGTGGGTTGAGTGCCAGCCTGCGAACCGAAGGGTCGTCGGTCAGAGCATGTGCCTGGGTTGTGGGCTGAGTCCCTGGTTGAGAACTCAAGAGAAGCAGCCGACCGATGTGTCTTTCCCTCTCGTTCTCTTTCCCCTCACCTGTCTCTAAAAATAAACAAATAAATTGCAGTGGTTTTAATACCTCTGTTTAGAAATGTCTGCGTTGTTGCAAATCATCCCTGTCATCCTCTTTACTAAAGACAGCCTCCACACTGCTTTCCAAGAAACATTGACTAAAGGTGGGAATGTGGTAACTAAAACAAAGTATTTTAACGTGTTTCTTTCTGATAAGATGACTAATGGTCATTCATGGATTGGCTTTAAGTTGTAAAAGTTGAGAGGCCAAGAGACATTTATGTCTATGAAAAGTGAGATCTTTTGAAACCTTGTCCCATTCAAGTCTTTCTTTTTAAAAGTAGTAGAAAGTTAAGGGAGTAGGGTCTGACTTAATTTAATTGAAAGTAATTTAGTTTGCCATTTATTTATGGCAGTTACTTTCAGATGAAGTCATTTCTTGGAAACGCCTTTTCTTTGTGGTAATCAAAATTGAAGAAAGAGTAATTTTTTAAAATTTCCATAACCCTAACTTTATACATTTTCTATTATGTTATTATAAATATAGTTTAGTGAACCCAAAGGCATTCCAAGTAAACTTCTGCTATTTGTTTGGAAAAAATAAATAAAAGGCACCTATACAGTAAAAAAATATTTCAAAAGAATAAAGAAATATTTAGGAGTTACTTGGCCTTGAAATCTCCAGCAATTTAGTGTCATGTGTCTTTAGGGAATGGAGATAATAAAACTAGGAATAGAGGAATCAACATTGGAATTAACTAGACCACCTGCCCATTAAATGCTAAGCTGTGGGAATTTTAATCACAATAGATGAGGGATCATTTCCTCCAAGGGATCCATTCATTAAAAATACAGCCAATACCTGAATACTTGAATAAGTTCCAAATTATCTGCAAAACAAACATTTCCCACTTTGGTGAGAAGCAGCTGCTTCTACAAAGAAAGCTGTTCAAAGCGACCACCGTAGCCCACCTCGTCGCCCTGGGTGCTGTGCTCTGACAAGCCCTCCGCTCACTGATGCCCACACCAGTCCCGAAGCTTTGGAGCCGCTACGCTGCCCGGGAGCTGACGCGGCTCTGAGAGGTGAAATCATTCCCTCTACACCCGCAGCTAGAACATGTGAAGCCACCATCATACCAGGTCTGCTGAACACTGAAGTGCAGTCTCTCCCTGTGGCCCATGATGGCTTCTCCCCTGAGGAATGGCATGGATAGTGCTGGCCGCCGAGGCCACCCAACCCTTCTAGAACTTTTGACCTCAATTGTGCAAAACTGTTCTTGGTGGCTCAGGCCTCTGGGGGAAAAGTGTTGTGGTATCGAGAGTTTAACTGTGCCAAAAGGCAAGTTCATCACATCTCCTCTTGCAGGAAGGGTGACGTAAGAATCTGGAAGTAGTGGTTTCTGTAACTATTAAGAAAAGTAACTGCACACTGCTCCCGTGAGCTCCTCCCTCAGGAACACTTGTGAACAGCATGAAAAAAATTAAGCCAACTGCTATCAAGTGAGAACAAAGTTTTCATTTTATTCAGGTGCTCACAGTCTCCAGCACCCTTTCCTCTGAAATAATTTCACATGCAAACTGTCACACACTAGATGATCCTCCTAAGTATTACAGGTGTTTGGCCAGGTTCTTCCCCAAGGCAACCTGAGGGAGGGAGGGAGGCTACTGTGCCATCCTTCCCGCTGTCCAGGCCGGCTCCTAAAGTCCATGAAAGGGAAATACGGCCTGTGTGCCGGCCCTCAGTGAACTTCACTTGCCTTGCCAAGCACACCCTGCCGGCCACAGGGAGGGCGTCAGGCTGGAGAAACGTGCCCAAAGCCCGGCTCCTTGATGCTGGGGATGTCATTCTTCCTGTAGAAGTCGGCCTTCAAGTGGTTGGCACGGCCGTGGTCCCGATTCAGGGGCTCCACGGGCTGGTGGATGCGGCGGCCATAGACAGAGGATGTCAGCACCCCGACCGGCCTCTCCCACTCCTGTCGGGGCATCAGAACACTCAGGTCGGTACACATGCCCACTTCATCAGCGTGGCTCTCCCATCCCTTGGCTGGGATCCAGAAGCAGATTCTGCCTGAGGCACCTACACACCCGCATCACATCTAAGCCTGGGATTCTTGTGGGCTACTCCGCACCGATGCCAGGGGGCCTCTTAACTACGTCGGACCCTGCTCGTCTGCCCACAGCCCTCTGGAGTCCTCAAGTCCTTCCGAGGAAAGGCGAAGACCTTGCACTGGGCTCCAGGTTCCCTGTGACTTCAAGTTCATGATCCTTCCGCTCCCCTCTCCCCACCCTGCTCCTGCCTGCCTTTCTTTTCTCTTTTCCCAACTTCTTTCTTTTCCCAGGTGCACATCCCCAGCACCCCCTGCCTTCCCAAGCCCTTCCTCATCTCCCAGCCCCTTGCCTGTGTGGTTTCATCCCTGAAGCCCAGAGTCCCTAGAACTACAACAGCCTGGACTCAGAGGTTAAGCAAAACCATATTTTATTTGTTGAAGGGCTTCTTAGTTTTGCTTCCATTAAATTGTTAAATTCTATAGAACAAAACAGCAGTCATCAAAAACAGAGCAACATGACAGAATAGAGTGAGCGCTAACAGTAGCGCACTCTGAGCTTCTTGCCGCAGTAAAACGGGAGAGAGGAGCACCCAGGAGAGGCGCACACACACGGTTAACCTGTCAATGGCTATTAATACCTCCTCGTTAACATGAAGTCCCAGGCTTCTGGCGTGTTCTCTGTCATCTCGGTGCAGTTTCTGATTATATCCTAGCTCCTTCTTAAAAACGCAGTCATAGAGGGAAATGATCCCTGTCTAGAACAAGAAGAGAAAAGAAAGCTGTGGGTTTATTCGTGGGCTGAGCCACTGACACTTCACGGGGCTCGGAAGGCATCTCTCCCTCTGAGGGAGACATACAGTGTCTCCGATGCACTGAGGGGTGCTAGGGAAGGTCACCCCACAAGCAAAACCAGTGGCCAGAGCAGGGAGGCCGGGCCCTGCCAGCCACAGTGGGTTGCTGAGAGGCAGTGGGGCAGGGACGTCCCCAAGGGCGCTTGTCCTCCACGTTCCCTCCTTCACAGACACGCTCCTCCTCTCACTAACTCAGACTCCAGCGGAACCTTGAAATAACAACACACTCAGTGTGCTTTCTCCTTAAATTGTCTTCTTGTATTGTTCAGATTTCCAACAATTTGTGCAGCTTTGAAAAATGAATACTACCTGGATACTAGGACAATATAACCAAAGAGAAGTTGTTCTTTAAGTTACTAGCCAATAGGCAATCTGTCTACATGTAAACCCCTCCCTAAAGAGAGGGGGCCTCTTCTGCAGAGGGAGCGCTGCCCGGGGAGAAATGGACTCGGTGGCTCACCTGTGAGAAACACACGTTCACTACGTTATGTTCATATGCTTACGGCCAGTGGTGTGCTCGTGTTAACTACCTGCTCGCTGGAGAAATGAGACCTGAAAGTCTTTTTGGATTTCTGCGGTGTAAATACTCCCATCGTGGCCAATTTTAGGCTTCCTGCAAAATGCCGAGAATTCAGAGGAGGTGCTAAAAATCGGCTCCGTGTTGTCACTACGAGCAGGCTCCAACACACCACTGGTTAGGACTTGGGGTTCAGGACCTATTTGTTTCCATGGCGTGATAGCCCACCATTCCTTCACTGCTCTATACAGTGATTAGCCAATGAATGGGCTCCACTCATTTCCTCTCTCAGGGGCCATTACACTGTTATCTCTTTTTCACCTGGAGGCTTTCTCTTACTCTCTGCCTGTCTAGGGCTATGAGACCTGCTTTTAAAACTGAAAGTTCTCATGTGATTCAAAGTGTTACCTCTGCTTCTCAAGGGCCTCATTAGACTTATGATAAATCCAGCACTTCTTGGCAGTCTAGCAGTGTATGAAGCTTGATGCAGATATCTCCATCAATTTTAAAATCATTCAAAAATTCTACATCTGAAAAAGACTGTAGTTTGTCAAGGACGTAATGTTCACTCTTTTGAAAAGACAGTACTCAACTCTTTGGTTTGTCTGTGGCAAAGATTCTGTTTCCTCTCTGCTGCACTGAGATCACGAGTTTTGGGCACTTTTATAACTTTTCTAATCATCTGGATATTTTGTCAAGTTGATGAGAACCATATTGCCAACAGTCTTGGTAAGGCCTCAGTTGTACTGCTTTAAGTCCATCTGTCATTGGCAGGGGCTGCCCAGAGCAGAGCACCCGGAACATGCTGCTTTCATGTTCGAGTTGGAGCGAACCCTTGGACCTTGTGCCTGCTTCATCCCGGAGCTGTGCTCTGAGCTGGAGTTCTGCGTCGGTCCGTCCGCCCAGCTTGTTGCCAAGAGGAAACTTCGTGATGCTGGAGCCAGTTTTCTTCCCTCATCTGTTAATAACAGCCCCCCATTTCCCCCTGACCCCAGCAATTCACATCACAGGAAGAAAGGGCCATCCAAGGGTGCCGACACTGGAATCTAATCTTACGTTTTCCTCTTAGTCAAGTATGTTGGGGAAAATACTGTTTTGTGTGTGTCATTTGCTTGTTGCACTGCTTAAAAGGAGATAATTTTGAAAAAAAAGTCTAAGATATATGATTAAATGGGAAGAGCAAACTGTAAACATATAGGAGGGCAGATCACCCCAAAACAATTTATTTATAAAAAAATGTGTATTTATTCTTACATGTTTAAACTTGAGTCACTTTCAAAATACTCTTCATTTGATGTAATACACCTACTGAGATTTTTTTCCCCTGCTGCTCAAAACAGTTTTTGAACTCGTCAATTTTGACGACTTTCAGTGCTTTTGCTGTTTTTTTATTTCACCTCTTCCACATCAGCAAAATGTTGCTCTTCAAGGACTTTTTTTTTCATCCAGGGAAACAAAAATAAGTTGCTCAAGGTGAGATCTGTTGAATAGGGAGGGTATGGCATGGGGGTCATGCTGTTTTTTGATTAAAAACTGCTGAACACTCAGCGTGGTGTGGGCAGATGTGCTAGTAAATCACTTATCATGAAATGGTCAAACACATCAAAAGAGTTAAGAAAAAATTCATTGAAGCTGAATGCAGCCTCTTACAACACCAGCTGGTACACTGATACAGGTGGGTTCCTAGAACACTCATTTAGCAGGGGATTCCTGTACTATTGCTCAAGGGGCCTGCCCTCCAGAAGATAATTTGGGTTTGGGGGAGGTCCCTTTGTATACGTGGTACATAGTTTTGTGATCTTCCATGTGTGGAACGTGTTCTCATAAAACAAAGACACATATCACCACATTCATATATACACAATGGCAATATGTGCGCCACATGCTCACACGGGTGGTTATGACTGGCAGGAACACTTATTCCCCACTCCTGGTGTTTCCTGGCATGAGGAAGGACTTCCACCAGAAGGATGCACGTGGCCTGTTTCCTCACTCCTTCTTCTCCGTTCCTAGGATCTACCTGCCCAGGAGGAAGACATTCAGCCCTACTCCCCGGGCCTTAACCTGGTTACTAAACAGTGAAAACACAGCTAACCCAGATGTGAGAGAAACACCACAGTCAACTCCCAATGTTGACCCCTGCAGATGGGAGCAAGGCCAAAGGTAACCACACAGCAGATAACTCACAAGGAAAACTTTATTTAGTCTAGGAGGATAATCCCATAAACCAGTGCTTTAAAATGTTTGCATATCAGGCAGGGATGGGTTGTTGGAAGCATCCCTGCCTGGTTTCAGGAGCTGTAACTCACCCCCATGGCTAAGGCTGAGTGAGCCACCTTCAACCTTAAGCCACTAAGGAGATAAAGCTTATCTTTCTGGCAGGAGCTTTGCTACTGCTCCTTTTTCCGTAACTGGCCCCCAATGCTTGATCAGTTAGCCAATGATGGGTAAGATTCCCCAGGGGGGGAACGACCTAAGACAGGCACGATCAAGAGGGACTATGGAGAAAGGGGGTGATGGACCCTCGCCCCTCGGCTTTGAAGAAGGCTGACTCCCCTGAGTATGTGAGAAGTCTCCAAAAATTCCCTGGCTATCTGCCTCCTCTGCCTGACTTAAGGCTGAAGCAATGACAGAGGGTGGTGCATCCCTGTGCTGGAAAGGGTGGGCTCCCTGGGTGATCAGGCCTGAGAAAGGATATGTAAAATCCTGTGAAACCTGCTTTACTAAGAATGCTCTTAGTTAAATGATAAAGGCCCAAGGAAGAAATGAGTTTGTTTCCCAAAGTTTTGTAGACTTTTAGCTGATAGACCCTGACTTAGAAGAAGCCCTAGTAGTTCTTTGTATGCTGTCTACTGTTTGATCCTTACTGCCTGACAATGATTAATGAGCTGTACCTGTGTTCCTGTGCAAACTGAACCCAGTAAAAGCCTGTCTAGGCAAGGGTCAGTGTGCTCTCCCCTTGAGAGGATGGCCAGGTTGTTCTGAGGTGCTCCCCCCTTGAGGGAGTAGCCTTGCTGGCCCTTTTTCTCCACAGGACTCAGTAGTCTGTGTGAATTTGTCTCATGTCTCATCCATGACGTCAAGGGCACCGATAGCTGGTGTCTGAGTCAATGAATGGGGCAGGGAGGGGGGGGAAATGGGGAAAATGGAGATAACTATACTTGAAAAACAATAAACAAATACTGGCTCATCTCAGAAAAAAATTAAAATGTTTGCATATCATTTATTCATCCCTTATTCTTTCATGCAGTCAGTATTTATAAAGCACCAACTGTGAGACAGGCACCATTTGGTTTGCTGAGGGTAAAAATAATCCCTGCCCTTGTGAGCTTGTATGTTATGGGGGAAAAAAAGAACCACAAGATCACTAAGTGAAATATTTAATAGAATAGATACTAATAGTGATACAGGGTGCAGCCAAGGGGGGGGGCAAAAAAAGATTTGGAATAGGGTCCAGAACTCAAGGTGTCTAGGAAATATTGGAGAGACATATAAGATGTCCTCACCCCTTCCCCCCAGAGGTGTGAGTTGGGGGAAGGGACACATGGAATAAGAACATGCAGGGCTGTTTTGTACAGCTAAAGCCTTGCAGCTAATCCATGGCATGGTCGTTTAACATATCTATAGCCTTTGGCAGGTCACTTGGATATGTTAAATGGCTGTGGCCAGGCTTGGAGCCAGGGGGATGAAGTCACTTCCCCAAGATGTAACTGGGGGCAGGTCCCCCAAGTTACAGCACCTGCGTGGGAGCTTAGAGAAGATTGGCTCTAGGACATGGGATGATAACTGCTCAAACTAACTATGGTAGCCCAGTAAACTTGTAATAATACAGAAATACTGGCAGGTGTAACTGATAGTGGGAGGAGTCGGAAATAGAGGTACAGAGGAAGATGGGCAAGAGGATTTAAAAGCCAGACACAGCAGCCATTAGAGAGAGAGCCATGCGGTTTCAGCAAAGTAAGGGTCCCCTCTTGGCCAGGTGAAAGAGGGAGCCACGTGGTTTTGGCAGAGTGCAGACCCTCTCTTTCCAAGGTGAAAGGGAAAACCACACAGCTTTGCCAGAATAAAGATCCCTGCAGCCAGGTGAAGAAGAAAGCCACATACTTTTGTTGGAGTGCGACCCCCTGCAGCTTTGGTAGAGGAGGCCCATGTGGCTTTGGGGTGCCCCCTTTGGCCGAGTGGCCTGGAAAGCAGGAGAGACTTTGACTGGAACCAGGTACAAAGAACTCTTGCCAGTGGACCATGAGAGGGTACCACAGTGCTTTGGATTAACTAGAGATCCTGCCTGATACAGCTGATGGTACCAGGGGCCTGAAAAAGGGACCTGTGCTCTTTTCCTGATTTACGGTACCCAGAGTTGTGACAGTGGGAGAAGGGAACGCTGTGT